ATTTTTGAAGACTAGATACACATAGATGTTGATTTCTCTAAGTTTTTGTTTTGAATGTTTTCATTTATTTTTCTAGACCCCCAAGGGTGACTGGGGAATAGAAGTATGGTCACCATTGGTCTTCTTCCGACCGGCAGTTAAGCCCTTGCTAAAGTGGGGCGTCCGTTTGGCTGTGCGGGATGTACAAATTTGCAGCCACGTCCGGTCAGAATGGGGACGTTAAATCCGATGCCTCGTGTAAAGAAAATGCCACGCTCTTTGCACGTGAAGAACCCTTGCAACAACTCTTTGAGGGGTCCGAAGTGACCTGTTGCAAGGCTAAATTTCTGTCCCTATCCAATATACCCTCATTTCCCGTGGCAGGACCTTAATCCCGGACGCCCCTATTAAAGAACCTACCTATTGTATTTATTGTTAATTTGTTCTCGTCTTGAATATGCATGAAATATTTGCCACTAGACATTAAGCAACCAACAATCAATCAATCAATTTATTTTTCTATTTTTTTTATTAATCATATACTATTTCCTTTGTTCAATAGTTTAAATATATTTTAATAATTACTCATCAACAAGGGGTGACTTGTTTAATGAAACCCATGCCATAGCATATAAAAATTTGTATGGAGCGAAAAAAGCACATAACCTGGCAGTGCATTCGGTTAGATCATATTATATTACTATTTTTTTATTATGAGTTAACAACGTTTGTGTTTCTGTTTTCTACTGATTTTATTTTAACGCTCCCTTTCATATCACAGATAGGATTCATCTCCAGCAATATATCAATACGCGTATTATATTTTAGTTATGATGTCAAGCCGACCCAATTGTCCCACACGCTACGACCGTCAATCTACCGTGAGTTTATTTTAGATATTCGCATATGGGACAGTAGCTAAAAATATACAGAGTCCGAAACAAAAATATACTAAAATTACTATTGTACCCTTAAACCACACAATTTTTTCAGGATTTTGGATTAAGTAAACCTTATATCTGAAGTAAATTGTCGATAGGAAAAAATATTTTCTTACACTTTAAACTCTTGGTAACAAAAACTTCATTGTAAGCAGCAATCTTTAATCAAGGATATGAGACGCATATTCCGTAAGCCGGCGCTGTTAAACCGTTGCTATATAGAAATGAAAAGTTTACAATTAAGAAGCTGAAACATCTATTTAGCGAAACGTGGAATTATGGAGATATGTTTTCTATGGTTTCGAACATTTCTCGCAAGATATTTTTTTTATGTCTGCCAATTTTAACTATGGTAAACAGGTTACGGTTTCCCGCAGGTGAATTATGTTTAATCATCTTATAGGTTTGTTCTTTTAAATAACATGTGTTTATGTATAAACGAATTCTTTTTCTTTTTTTAGCATCTCAGGAATCAATTATCGCATGTATATCTAGAATTATTTCTTTTTTCTTGTTCATCTTTTGATTCCATTAAGTATAAACATAAACGAAAGACGTATCTTGCCATCATTATTGATCATTTGAACCCATAATGTATCAAACGTTGTAATGTCAGCTTAAAGCGCTTGGTAGTCACTCTATTTTAGATTGTATCGTATTTTTTCATATGGATGTACATAAATATAATATATATGTTCAATTTGTTTTTTAAAATTCCCCATTTCTCGATTTAGACATCGTGATAGTGAACCTATTCATGATAGTGAATTGCGTAAATGTTAAGAGTTGTATTTTTTAAAGAATAAAATCGTATTACCTTTCTGTTGATTCATTGTTTGATTGAATATTACTTGATTAACGTAGCAATATCATACATATTAATGAGTAGAAACTATTACTATTAAAAAAGGTGGTTTCTGAAAATCGGTAAAGCAAGTATAGAGGGTGGGAAATTTTGAAATGCCACTGAAAATCAATTGTATGTTGGATAAGGACAGACACAATGCCTTGCATCATGTCAACTGCAACCACGGAAAAGTTGTTTATAGGGTTCTTAAACGTGCAGACAGCTTTTCACCTGTACTAGAGGCATCGAATTAAACGTTCCTCATCTGACCGAATATAGCTGCAAATTTAAACATCCCTTCCAAACGGACGTAAACACCACTCATTCTCCCAAATCATGTCTCTTAACTGAAATTCATATGTTCATCGTTGTAAATTAACAATAACTATAATCACTTAAATTCGAAATAAAGTTAGAATTCGATGTTCCAATGCAGTGAAATTAAAATGTCTTTCCAAAACAATAACAAAAGCAAACTTATTCTTTGACCTGCCGTTTACAGTCATTTTTAATAAATAATATTTTAAAAAGATTTTTTCTAAATTACTCCATCAGGTACACTCAAAGGTACACACCCCAGTTTTTGGTGGGGTTCGTGTTGCTTAGTCTTTAGTTTTCTGTGTTGTGTCATCTGTACTATTATTTGTCTATTTGTCTTTTTATTTTTGACCATGGCGTTGTCAGTTTGTTTTCGATCTTTGACTGTCCCTCTGGTATCTTTCGTCCCTCTTCCAAAGGTAAACATTTGATAACCAGAGATGGGGAGATACAATGCAACGTTAGGTGCTTTATGACCAAAAAGGACATATCAAACAGAATAGCAAAAAGTCTACGTTATCTGAGGGAGTTAGTATCCATTTTCTTTTAATAATCTCTAAATTCATACACTGGGAATTTTAGATAGAATATGTTATGAAGCCTTTCCGTATGGAAGCACTAAATACTTATCATGAGCTTATTAAAATCAGTCTACTAGCAAAGGTATTGACACAGTGCTAGTAGTTGTAATAAACAACTTGTAAATTCGTGCGTCCGAAGCGCTTTTCTTGATTTACTGTCAACAAGAACTCTCAACTTAATATTTCAAAAATTAGGGATCCATAAACACGCTGTTACGTTATGAGCTATATGATCGAAAAGGACATCAACAGAACAGAATAGCCACATTCATCTAAGCCGTACACGTATCTGCCTAAAGGATTTAGAACCGAACACTTTTAATAAATTTTTTATTTATGAATGAGGATTTTTAAATAAGTGATGATACCCTCGGGGACTAACAATCCTATAGAAGCGGAATCCACCTAGTGCAAGCTTACTAAATGTCGTCTGTCCGAAGTGTTTTTGTAGATTTACCTACTTTTACATTAGGAACGCTCCAACACAAACATTTCAAAACCAGGAAATTTGATTTAATATATTGAAGCTTACTTTCTGCAATCGTATGTCGAGTACATGTACCCTTGTCAATCCCTTAGCAAGTATCTTGATTGAGTAATTATTGATTGCTTAAGGTCAAGTGGCAAATGTATTATGCGTGTGTAGGATGAATCAAAAAGTTATTGTAAGGGGTTCTAACGTGCAAGTGCTCGGTTTTAAATCCTTTAGGCAGATTATTCAATATAAAAAAAGAAGATGTGGTGTGATTATCAATGAGACAACTCTTCACAAGAGACCAAATGACAAAGAAATCAACAACTATAGAATGAGCAAAGCCCATACCGCATGTTCAGGGAAAAAAGGCCCCGAAATGACAAATGTAAAACAATTCAAACGAGAAACTAACGGCCTAATTAATGTACAAAAAATGAACAAAAACAAATATGTAACACAGCAACAAACGAAAACCACTGAATTACAGCCTCCCGACTTGGGACACGCACATAAATACATAATGTGGTGGGGTTAAACATGTTAGCGGGATCCCAACCCTCTCCCTAACCTGGGACAGTGGTGTAACAGTACAACATAAGAACGAACTATAAAACAATAAACATAATCTGAACAGAAACCAAGGAAAAAAGTCCAAGTCAGATTTGCATTTAAATGAGTATCTAGGATCATGATTATTTTTTTAGTAATAAAGTTTTTTTTATTTATTTAAAAGGTTTTACACACACAGTTGTTAAGTGGCCAGGAGCCAGTCATGATGCCGTCATTCTGGCCAATTCAAATATACCAACAATAATGGAAGGTTAGAATGGATGGCTTCTTGGGGATTCCGGCTATGGATTGAAGAGATGGCTCATGACTCCCTTAATGAATCCCAATTCACAGCAGGAAATAGGCTACAACAAGTCTCACTGCAAGACGAGGAACACGGTAGAGAGGGCATTTGGTGTGCTTAAAGCTCGCATCAGGTAATCTTTTAATACTTGATAAAAGCTCTTTTGCTGTTATCTTACTTTCTGTATCAAATGACTTATAAAATTGAAACAATTTCGTTATGAAGACAGCAAATATGTATGCTCTGACTCATCATTTACTTAAATTAAAATGTCTGAGTCCATCAACAATGAGAGGTCACGTATCGATCCATCTCCACTTGACAGGCTTATGTTATAATCATATTAAAGAATCTCTTAAGCTTGAACAAAGTTATTCTTGATTTTTACAACACTATAACAGGGTTAGTGTCTTAGGTGAGAATGGATGTGCCCACCCAACCAGACAACCTGTTTTTTTCTATAATCCAATATCAGTCGAGTATATTGAAGCAAAATACCAGAAATGATATATGTCATTGATAGAAGTTAGAAATATATATTTTATCTAATAAGGAGATGATTCCTGAGTTATGCCAAGAACATTAATGGGCAAAGGGATGTAAACTGTGACCTATAATTGCTTACATCAACAGGAGATGGAATAATCGTTAAAAAAACCCTGTAGTAGGAGTAGTGGAATAATAATTCACAATTTAAACAAGTAACCAATTTAAACATGTGAAACTTTTTTTTTACAGATGTCTTCATAAAACCGGTGGATCCCTCCAATTCTACCCTCTTAAGTGTTGCAAGATGATTAGGGCATGTTTCAGACTGCATAACAAGGCTTGTAGTGAAGATGTGGACATTCAACAGTTAGCGCATCATAACATTATTAATGACGACCAACAAAATAATGAGGCAAACGCTATAAGGAGGAGATTAATCCAGAGATTTTGACTCAAATCAAATTTGGGAAAACACTGCTTATGTAGTGATTAATTTTTCAAAATAACAAAAAAAAAATAACTTTCAGAGAATTTAATAACTGGTGAGAAACAATGGAGATCTATTCCAAACTGGTGTTCTGTCCGCTGTGAAGCTCTAATGGCTTCTTGGGCCACAGTAGACCTCCGTTGTATCTCCAGCATCTGCTCCATGATCTTCAACTTTTTGGCTCTGTACATCTCTATTTTTTGGAGCTTACTTTCTTCTTGTAGGAAATACCGCTCTTCGGCCTCAGAGGCAGCATCTTGTTTACGCATGGCAGCTTTTAAACAAATATATCTATATTTTTTAACCATCAATAGTGAAATGAAAGCTACTTAAAACACATTTTTACATTGTATCCATGTTTAGCTTTGTACTAGACAAACTTTAAAAAATAACATCTCTGCCAACAAGGTTGCATTGATTAACACTACAATTTTCCAATTTTTTTAAATGCTTTATTCAAATGTTTTTTTTGGGTGCACTGTATGTGATTATATGATTAAGAGCAACAGATTAAATTTGAGTGGCATGCTGATAATGTTAAAGGACAATATATGATAAGGGTCATTTTTGGCCCCCTCTCGGAACCAGTTCATATTCATACCATCAATAGCCCTTGGACAGGTACTACAAAAAATAACAATTTTTATTCGTTCCTGTGACTTATTGGTTGCCTAGCAACCGATTTCTAAAATCAAACTTGCAGTGTGTGCTTTTCGTTAAAAAAATATCTTTTCAATGATTTTTGATGGTTTATTATGTTACATCATATTATATTGGTTATCTGTATAAGTTTTTTTGTTTCCTTAAACAAAAAAAATAAATGTCTTATGCCTATAGCAACTACATAACACAGATATTTTGCTTAGCAACCATACTATTGCAGGCATTTCATGTATGTATTTGCACAAACAAGTAACATTCAGTGTATGGCAACAATATAGTATTAATACAAACAAGCTAGTTTGTTCCATGCATCAGTTTAAGACTTGAATTTTGCTGAGAAACTACCTAGCAACGTGGATTTTGCATAGCAACCATACTATTTTAGGCATTTAAAGTATGTATTTGCACATACCACCAAAATCACAAACCACAAATAAATAATTCATATCTACTGGCTAGATTTTCTAATGCATTAGTTTTAAATTGGTATTTTCCATAAAAACTACCTAGCAACGTGTATTTTCCATAGCAACCATACTATTTAAGGCATTTAGTGTATGTAATTGCATATATAAGTAACATTGGGTGTTTGACAACAACACATTATTAATACAAACAAGCTAGTTTGTTCCATGCATCAGTTTCAGATTGGTATTTTGCTCAGAAACTACCTAGCAACATAAATTTTACATAGCAACCATACTATTTCAAGCAATTAAATATGTATTTGCATATACAATTTTCATGGCATGACAACAACAAACTATTTCTTCATGCAAGCTATATTTGCCTATGCATCAGTTTCAGATTGGTACTGTCACCTAAAACTACCTAGCAATTTCAATTTTGCATAGCAATCATTTTTTGTATTGTTACATTTTTGAAGAAAATACATTTCGACATGTCCATGATTTTTTCATATATATAAGCTGCAGTAACTTTCTAAATGTAGCTGCATAACAATGTATGTATCTTAGGATTTCATCAGCATACTAGTATAGTATTTTTTTAACAGTCACTACAGGTTTTAAATTAAGTGCATGGTTGCAAAGGAAGATGTATTGTATATATAAAAAAGAAGATGTGGTATGATTGCCAATGAGACAACTCTCCACAAGAGACCAAATGACACAGAAATTAACAGCTATAGGTCACCGTACGGCCTTCAACAATAAGCAAAGCCCATACCGCACAGTCACCTATAAAAGGCCCCGAAATGACAATGTAAAACAATTCAAACGAGAAAACTAACGGCCTAATTTATGTACAAAAAATGAACGAAAAACAAATATGTAACACATAAACAAACGACAACCACTGAATTACAGGCTTGGGACAGGCACATACATACAGAATGTGGCGGGGTTAAACATGTTAGCGGGATCCCAACCCTCCCCCTAACCTGGGACAGTGGTGTAACAATACAACATAAGAACAAACTATAAAAATCAGTTGAAAGAGGCTTAACTCATCAGATGGATAAAAATACAAATACTACAAATACAAGTGGACGTGGCCGGGTACTTGTACATCCAAATAACAAAAAGACATTAAGTACAGATCTAAGAGTACTCGCAGTTACTGACAGCTAGTTAAAAGCCACTCACTAATAAAAAAAATCATGCATCTAAGACTAAATATGCAGTTACAGCATCGCCTTTCTTTGTATGTCATGTTTTTTCAGATGGGTTAGGTAATCGTGGTTGCAGTATTTTTGGAAAATTCGGGGGTGTTTTTTGTTTTTTTTTAATCAAACTTACAATAAGAGGCTGCAAACCTTTTTTTAGTAAATAGGGTTTTTTTCAGTCCATTCTTCAAAGAATCATTTTTGTTTATACAAATTCTATATATTAAGTAAATAAAGTGTCACATTTTCTGTGTATCCAGGTGACAACACTCTGTTGATTTTAAAAATGTACTATTTTACCTCTGTTTCATTACACAGTTTTTTTAGAAGAGGGTGTTTTTGTGTTGACCTATGAACTTTGTTTACCAGATTTCATTTGGTACTGAAGAAAACAACCAAACCTTTAAAAACAAATATCATTTTAATTTCCCTTACTATCATTGAAATGCAATAAAATAAATACACTATAAGTAACAGGAAAATATATCTCTGTCTGTCTGTCTGTCTGTCGCCCTATTAAGTACCATACTTTCATTGAAATACATTGTATTTAATAAAATAAGTACATTATAAGTAACTAGGATATGAACTTACACACACACACACACACATGTTGCTTCTCTCTCTCTTTCTCTGTAAATATCTCTGTTTCCCGTATACTATAATTGAAACAAGGACTGGTGTATTTAATAAAATAAGTGCATCATAAGTAGCAGTAACTTGCACACACACACACACACACATTTTCTCTCTCTCTTTCTCTCTTGCTCTTTATCTTACTGTCTCTCTTTTGCTCTTTCTCTCCTACAAATAGAATTTCATCCATGTATCATGAGTATTTTAAATCGATTATTTGTATATTATTTGATTGCGGAATTTAAAAATTAACAAGATCAACTTAATCATATTTAAGCATGAAAAAATAATCCCTCTCCAAAGTAAGTGAACAACATTCACACACACATACAAATATACACAGACAAAATTATCAAATGCAATATGCTAATTTTCAGAAAATGACTATGGTCAACAGGCAAAATCAAATATTATCTTTTGTGACAAAGACTTTGTTTTGAATGTCATAATTCTCCTTAATCAATTTCAGACAATTAAATTATTTGTATTCATGTAACGACTAGAAAAATGCAAATTCCTAAGATTATTGTGAAAAAAATTTGTCTGTGGAAGATTTATGGATACATAGACTAGGCCATTAATGCAGTTATTAGATTAAAAAAATCAAAGGTCTTTTGTGATTGAGTTCCATATTTTGAACCATACTAAAGTTCTTATGATATAAATGTCAAGCGAGTTTTTAGATTTCCTGTTACAAATGGATTTTATAAGAAATAGCATTTACTATTTAATTATTCAAGCTCAAATTGTTCATCACCTGTAAAAGTAACTAGCTGTATATAGATTTCACAATTTACAGGCAAATACTTTGATTTTATGATGTCCTTAATTGTAAATATATGGAAACAGATAATTATCAGATAATATGAACTTCAAGCAATTAAATATATGAATACAAATTAATTTCATCTATTTACTAATTAATGTTAATTAGGTTATACTGATAAGGAAACTATTGTCTACTCTTCAATACCAGCTGATGATGAGGGATTTTCTGACAGTGTACCGGTATGTGCATATGAAATGGAGGTATTTCCCGATAAACGTGATGGCTTGAGACTTTTCATGTGCCTCTCTAGTCCCAAATACCACAGCACACTTGCCACATGTGCACAGCAGCCCACAATCCTAGCCCCAACTTTGCACGTGCAGTCCCAAGTCAAATTGAACTGCTATCATTAGCTGTTTTTTAGCTGTTATTTACCAGTTCTTAATATTTTTAGCAGTCTTTCAGCTGTTCTTAGCAGTCCATCTTATAGAAGTTTGAAAAACTGCCTTATTTCACCATTTCTTAGCATTCATCTTAGCATTCATCTTAGCATTCATCTTAGCAGTTTAAATACCTTCTAAAACTGCTGTCAATTTGTCAATTGGACAACAGTTATGACAGCAGTTCAATAGCAGTTTGATAGCAGTTTTGGTTATAATCTCTGTTATAAAAATGCTTGGATCTGGCTGTATTTTCAGCTTGAAAGTAAACCTTTATTTGAAGATTATTTGATCATTTTCAAATGTGTATTTTGGCTCCAAGCTGTGTGTAAATGCTTGCTAATGAAAAACTAAATTATAAGGTTTAGTTTAGGCTAAATGGAATAATTTCAAACACCTGCAGTACAGTAAGTTGAAGTTACAGTTAATGCATGTAAATTTTCTGACATAACTTTGTAGGGGAAAACAGAAACATGATACAGAAAGCCCCAAAAAAGGGGGATAGTTGTTTATTCAAATAAAATATCTGATGTTTACAGGATTGTAATAAAATACTAGCATATACTTACAGTGCAAGATGTTATTTATGAAAATAAAAATATGAATATTTTTATAAAATTTTGTAAAAAAACGAAAAATGAATCATATTCAAGAGTTGAAAAAAGGGGGAGGGAATACTATGGAAACCTAGGCCGCAAATAGCTGATTGGTTAATATTGATCAAACAATCCATTTAATGAAGTTAATATATGTTACTTAGGTTTGATTCAGAAAGTGGAAACATTATATTAATATATTACGTGTATTAAGATTTCTTTTATTTAAATCCAAAAGAGAAAGAGGAGAAAACTGTTGTCTTTTGGTCCACATAAAAAAATATATATCATTTGTATATTGTATATAGAGAGAAATTAGTAGTACATTTGGTAATTAAATAATAATAAAAAAGAAATTGAACTTTTAATCTAAAAAACACAAAGTCAAGGTAATTAATAGTTATTATAATCTAGTAACCACTCTTATTGAATAAGTTGCTTTTTAAAAGCACTGATATTTAAAGTGCATTCTTAACTGTTCTTATTATTCAGCCACTTCCATAATTAATGAGGGATCTATTCTAAGGCCAGGTAAAGTACCAG